CAGATTAGTTAGTTTAGGTTAGGTTAGTTAGGTTAGGTTAATCTATAAGACAGCAGGCTGGTAGCTGATGGTTAGTTTAGTTAGGTCAGATTAGTTAGTTTAGGTTAGGATTGGTTAGGTTAGTTAGGTTAATGTTAGTTAGCTTAGGTTAATCTGTAAGACATCAAGCTGTAGCTGATGGTTAGTTAGTTTAGATTAGGGTTAGTTAGCTTAGGTTAATCTGTAAGACATCAAGCTGTAACTGATGGTTAGTTAGTTTAGGTTAGGGTTAGTTAGCTTAGGTTAATCTGTAAGACATCAGGCTGTAGCTGATGGTTAGGTTAGTTTAGTTTAGGTTAGGGTTACATTAATCTGTAAGACATCAAGCTGTAACTGATGGTTAGGTTAGTTAGTTTAGGTTAGGGTTAGTTAGCTTAGGTTAATCTGTCAGACATCAAGCTGTAACTGATGGTTAGTTAGTTTAGGTTAGTGTTAGTTAGCTTAGGTTAATCTGTAAGACATCAGGCTGTAGCTGATGGTAAGGTTAGTTTAGTTTAGGTTAGGGTTAGGTTAATCTGTAAGACATCAAGCTGTAACTGATGGTTAGGTTAGTTAGTTTAGGTTCAGGTTAGTTAGGTTAGGTTAATCTGTAAGACATCAGGCTGTAGCTGATGGTTAGGTTAGTTAGTTTATGTTAGGGTTAATTAGCTTACGTTAATCTGTAAGACATCAAGCTGTAGCTGATGGTTAGGTTAATTTAGGTTAGTTAGTTTAGGTTAGGTTAATCCGTAAGACATCAAGCTGTAGCTGATGGTTAGGTTAGTTAGTTTAGCTTAGTTAGTTTAGGTTAGGTTTAGTAAGGTTAGGTTAATCTGTAAGTCATGAAGCTGTAGCTGATGTTTAGGTTAGTTAGCTTAAGTTAGGGTTAGTTAGTTTAGTTAGGTTAGGTTAGTTAGGTTAATCTGTAAGACATCAGGCTGTAGCTGATGGTTAGGTTAGTTAGCTTAAGTTAGGGTTAGTTAGTTTAGTTAGGTTAGGTTAGTTAGGTTAATCTGTAAGACATCAGGCTGTAGCTGATGGTTAGGTTAGTTAGCTTAAGTTAGGGTTAGTTAGTTTAGTTAGGTTAGGTTAATCTGTAAGACATCAGGCTGTAGCTGATGGTTAGGTTAGTTAG